ACCACAAAACCGTTATTAGCGTGGTGTACCTAATAAAGTGGCCGGTGAGTGTAGTTTCACTGTTTGATAGTGGTGTCGGTCTTTTATGGTTCCTCCAATGGTTTTGGGAGTCTTTCGACGTACCACTGAGCCTCTTCCACCGACCCAAAAAGTTTTTTTGCATCATCGGGTTGCGTTACGCGAAGCRGGGCTGGGAAGAGAAGAGCTGGCTTCAGGTCCCGTTTGTAGAGCTCCAACATGATGTCCCTGTACTCCGCGCACTGGCTCAGGATCTGGGCTGTAGTCCTCCACGATGCGCAGAGACGTGCCTCGGTAGGCACCGCGAATGATCATCAGGTGGATGTCCTGCGGGCCGCTTAGCTGCGACGGAACAGTGCGCTCTATCACGTTCTGGTGGGGTCGGGAGTACATCTTTCCCAAACAGCTCCCAGAGAAAGTTGGAGAAGAATTGTGTGGGGCGCCCGTTCTTGGCGTCTTCAGGTAGTCCGATGGTGTTCTGTCGCCGGCTGCGGCTCTCCAGGTCGTTAGCTTTGTCTTTTAGCTTAGCATTGTCCTCTCGGAGAGCAGCACACGCTTCTTCGAGGCTAGTTACACGTTGGCTCAGGTCGACTGTTGCAAGTTCCAGAGAGGAGACTCGCTATGCCTGTTCATCCAGGTTCTCCTCTATCTGATCCAGTTTAGAGCTAAGCATGTTAGCTAACTCGGTCAACAGGTAATCTCGGTGCTCCTGAAGCAATGTAGTGACAGCCTCCATTGTTAAGTTGGCGTCCTTCTTACGTCCTTTTGCAGCTTTAGACATCACCAGCGGGTATTAAATGTCCCAAATACTCTACAGAATGTTGTTGTATCGGTTGGCGGTGTAAAAGAGCCGTCTATGGGGTTAAATTAGCTAAGGAGGTTAAATTTCGCCAGAGCAGTTGTCGACACATCTAGCCTGGTCGCATGGCAAACCAGAAGTCCACGTTTTGTTTATTTATGTTATGATCTTACCCATTTTTGACTAGTCTTATCTTCTGCCATGTTATCGGTTATTATCAGTTATCGGCCGTTAGAAGGAGAAAGTTATTGGTTATCAGTATTAAAATAAAAGATCGTGCATCSCTAACTATCATCCTTACCTGTAACAACTGTGTGGCTGTTGCTCTATTTTCTGGGTTTTTGACCAAACACTGGCTGACAAAGTCCTGAAAGTTTGCCGACCACAGCTCTGGGTTACGAAACGTTGGAGGAGGGTTGGTGGGAATCATGAAAATCGCCTACAGGAAGAAACATAATTAAAGTACACAAACTAAAGGCTCCTACGTTCAAGTTTGAACACCTCTCCTCCTTTACACACAAACAATCGCCCCGCTCACCCTCATTGGGTGGATATCAGCGTAGGGTGGTTTGCCTTCAGCCATCTCTATCCCTGTTATCCCCAGTGACCAAATGTCAGCGACACAGTTGTAGCCGATCTCCTGTATGACCTCTGGAGCCATCCAGAACGGTGTGCCGATGACCGTGTTTCGCTTCGCCATGGTGTCCTAAGATACAAGAAACACTGAGACACTGTAGGAGTTTMCTTCAGTTAAAACGTCTTGTTGCATCGAGTCTAACTGAAYTTTAATTCYTGCAGTCAGGTGTTCTCCTTACTGTGAGCTGTCCAGCAACTCCAAAATCAGCTAACTTGGCTTGACCTTCAGTGTTCAGCAGGATGTTGCCCGCCTTGATGTCTCTGTGGATCTTCCTCATGAAGTGAAGATARTCCAGACCCTTCAGGGTCGACTGCAGGACCGTAGCGATCTCCTCCTCTGTGAGCTGCAACAAAAGAATGAACACATCAGTGATTATTGTAAGGACGTGATCCCAGTCAGACAGACGATYGAAAATCTCATTTTTTAAACACAGTTGCTCACATGGATGCTACTTGTGCACAAGTTGGTGCATTATCTTTAAATCCTTTTCCTACAAATAATACAACCTAAATTATCGTATAAAGTATACTTTAAGTCAAGCATCCGTCCTTCCTTGGATACTTGATGCAGCCTGCTGCACAAACTACATGTAGGTGAGTGTGCGCTTGAGGATTACGTTACCGTCTTGTTACGTATTCGGATGATATCAGACACTGATCCTCCGCCACAATATTCCATGACGATCCACAGGTCACTGTTTTTGAAGTAGCTGCCATAATAACGCACCACATGGGGACTGAACAAAGACACACACAAATGACAGTTTTAATTAAAATGGTTTTAAAGGTTAGCAACAAATAGTCATTTTTACTGATGCCGTTACTAACGTATTAAAATATAACCTCAAACATTTACACACCTGTTACATTGCTGCATGATGGAGATCTCCTTAATGATCTCCTGCAGATCTGACTCTACAGGAACCTGTTTGATGGCAACAATTTCCCCCGTTTCTTTATAATTGGCCTTAAATACACAACCATAAGACCTGCAGACATAAAGATAAAAGGTTTATTATGATGCTTCATCTATTTCTGCAAACTTTGATCAATAATTTACTGGTCAAGCCACCAGTGTGTGATAACGTCCAATAGCATTAGTTTGATAATAATACAAAATTTATTACTTTTTACTTCTTAAGTCCTATTCTGACAGGATTAGTTTTACCTAGGGACCCTATGCTATTTGTAATAATTACAGAGATTGTCTGTGTGTTTAATCCCGTGCGACTCTGACAGATCAGTAATTTGTAAAGTAAAAATTACCTGCTATATTTTGCTGAACTCTGAGGTCCAGTGATAATGTGTGAATATTTGGACAGGAATGGACTGAATCTGATATGTAACTAGGTGTTTTTATGTTTCCTGGGTGCATTTTTATTTGCTTTTGGTGAAGAATGGAGGCTGGATCGGAGTGCATCGAAAACCTTTTGGGTCCTGGGCCGGCAAAAACCCGACCCGTACCGAGTGGCATCAAAAKGTAAAGGCTGAAGGGCCTTGTGACTAATGCTGGCAGTAACACTGTGACCGTAGCGCAGCGCGTTAAAAGTTTCTGTTATAGTCGAGCTTTGGGTACTCGAGCAGGGCGAGCGCGTACCCTCACCAGCGGTGTAGGCGTGTATACTTGGTGCTTACGTGACTGTAGTATTCTCCAAAAAGACATGTGGCAGAACACTTTATAACATGAAATGTTGTAAATAGGAGAGCAAAAGCTTGARGAACAAACTGTTTGAATGGTGAGCGGCACGCCCCGTTTGTGGAGTTATATCTAGGATATGTTTGTAAATCTCAGCAAAATCTCAGGCTTCGGTCATCCCATAAAAAACAGACATCGGAGAGTAATTTATTTATTACACGAGGTCCCCAGATAATGCAAATCCTGTGCGAATTGGGCTTAATTAAGACTTTTATTCAACTATAACACARGTCAAGTTAGTAGGGYTGCAACAATACAMGTACCCATAWGGAACCGTTTAATACAGWGCTTTAGGTTCAATACACACTATGTATCAAACAATACAGATTTTTTTATTTATTTTATCAACTT